TCATAACTATTATTTCGAATTTCCAATATACAGGGTGTCCCGAAATTAGACGGTCATATTTTAATAGCGTAATCTACATCCTACAAGTATTAGAAATTAAAAATTAAAAAAAACCGAATTCAAAAACGTGCAGATGCCGTCACCACATTTTAACCAAATTTATATGGAACCACCCCTGAAGTACCCCCTTTCTAACAAAAAAAGAATCATTGAAATCGGACACCGTGTTAAAGAATTATTGCTGAACATACATGAAAAAAAGATAAAAAAAATATTGCGACGAACTGAGAAACTCCCTCCTCCTTTTTTGAAGTCGGTTAAAAATAGGAGTAAAAGTTTATATAAACATAGGTCCGAAAACGTTTCGTTTTCGAGATACAGGGTGTTACAAGTGAAGTCCAGATGAAACATTTTTGTAAATATTTTTTAAAATTTCTTTAGTTACCGGTTTTTCAAAGTTAAAAAAAAAAAATTTCTAATTCTACAGACCTACTAATTATTGTTTACACTTTCAAATAAGGTAACATGCTTTTCTCTTGAAAATGGCGCTTCCTAGCGAGATGCAACAAATGTAGCTTTATTATACAAAAAATATTGGTTTTCCAAATTTTATAGTCAAAAAATCTGATGTGTCCAACACATGACTTTCCTATCTAGTTATTATAGGCTTTTTCCGGTTATTTTGTACAACCTATTGCAGTACCTCTATAAATGTTTAGAGGATAAACTAAATATATACATTTTCCACATACATCTACCTCGAAACATTATTCTATAAATATTCATTGAAAACGAAAATACTGAAAAATTTAAATTTAGCACTTTTCCTCCAATTTTTCCATTACGGTCCATTTTAGAAAAAGCATGTAAAAACAAAAATTTTAGAGATCGATATCGCAAACAACTTTTAGTTCAACAATTTTCATAAAAATCAGAATTTTGCACATTTTGTCAAATTTCTCGAATACGGACCATTTCAGGAAATTTTGACATTAAGCAAAAATTATAGATAATACTATTAGAAGTAACTTTTATTTGAACAATTTTCTTCTCCAAACATAAATAACAGATATATTCAATAAAATATAAAAAGGGCCTCCCATAAAGTACCCCACCAGATGTTCCGACTTTGTCCAAAATCTAATCAATTCATGTCAGGCCGAAATAAAGCTTAAGTTTAAAATTTAATGTTTTTCTGTGTATCGGTTCATGAGTTATGGTGGATATAGACACAGACACACACGGCAATTTTACCCTAAGCTCCCCCTAATTTACCCACCTAAGAAGATGATTAATAACTGGGGTTTAGTCCAATAAATGAAGCGTAAAAAGGTAAGTATTTGTAACAAATTTTACCTAATTATCTTTAAACGTTTAGAAAATATTTACAAAAGTGTGATATCAGGACTTCATCTTTAACACCCTGTATCTCGAAAAAGAAAAGTTTTCGGACCTATGTTTATATGAACTTTTACTACTATTTTAGGATGAAGATTACGCTGTTAAAATATGACCGTCTAATTTCGGGACACCCTGTATATCATCTATAACTATCAATAAATAAAACATATTGGAGTTGTTTGGTTTAAAAATAGTATTCCTAGATTCGTATATTAACAAGCCACTAACCCCCAGTAGGCGGCGATAGCCAACGAATTATACCTGAATTGTAATCGGACCCTACCCAATATAATTATCCTTCAGCGCACGACACACAACATTGCCAAATTTATGTAGCGATCAAGGTTCCAAATACTTTAAGGGGATATCGTGAGATTCGTGCGGTGTGACGTCAGAAGGGACTGGATTGCTCTTAAGTACAGAGAATTAGGGCTGTTTTTAACACCTCTGTCGCCTTTGTGCAGACATAATATAATATTTACCAAGCGACATCATTACTTAGTAATAAAAACCTTTTTTTTATATTTGAAAAATGTCTACCAAAATCTTAGCTTTTTACTTTCTAAAGTTTCAAATTTATTTGGAATGAAATTAAATTATGATTTTGTTCAGTAAGTTCAATTCAAAAGTCTTTTATTTACAATATGTACAAAGAACTTTTATAATAACATACGATTTACATAAATAACAAAGGGATTTCTTCTCAATAAGGCTTCGAAAAATATTCGTCAGGTGTCGTGGCCTCAGACGAGGCCATGACCGATGTCGGGGCTGTGTATACTTATAATTAATGATTTAAATGACTTCTCTTTATTGTAAAACACCATAATAAGTCAATATTGGGTATTTACTGGAGCGGTAATGGAAAAGTTTATAGTTTTTGACTGAATTTAATTATGTTTGTTTTCTCTGAAAAACCGATATAAAGAAACAGGGTTTTTCCTTGGATTATGATATCGGTTGATAGGTACTTAATATTATCAACATTATACTGTTTTCAAGCACTATAACTATTAATAAATAAATATTTTAGTTATTGTAATATTTATTTTGTTTTTAATACGTTGAAAACCATCTACAAACATTATTAGTCATTATTAGTCAATTTTTAGACACTTTAAATTCTCTCTCGATTCATTTCTTATTTATTAAAGGTTTCTATATCGATTTCAGATTCTACTTTATTTTTATTATTACGTCCTGTTTCATTATTTATTATTTGCCATACAGTTTTAGATTTATTGTCTGAATCATTAATTTGTTAAAGTAAGTTATTTTGTTTTGCATTTTTTAGCAATACATTATACAGGGTGTTATTGAAATACACGTACATATTAAAACTGGGTATTGCGCAGATCCCCACTGAATGTAGAAAAATATTATTTTTTAAAAATACCCCTTATTAAGGGAGTTATTAATTTTTGAAAATTAATTCTAAAACAAACGTACTTCACTGATATGTTGAGGATGACCTATATAAATTAGGTTTATTTACCTATTTTAAACATCAACAGTAATTAATATGCAAGTTTTTGTCAGATGATAAGAAAACTAGTCTTGTAAGAAATAACCATGTTGCCAAGATTTTCGAATTAATTTCTATTTCCGAAGACTGGTTTTTACTACCCTCGTTATCAAAAAACTAGAATATTTGATAAATGATTGTTTTTAAACTATACATTTTTGAAACTATAGATTATTAAAATTTTGGTTGATTTACGAATCTGGCTAACACGAGCGCGTCATTTCCAAGTTGGTAAAAAGTGTTGTTACGATTACTTTTAAATATTTTTTTACGATGCCACTATTTACGAATATTGAACTAACGGATATAGTGCTGGTTTATGGGGCAGCTGGAGAAAATTCTCGGCAAGCACAAATCCTGTATCGCGAACGGTTTCCAAATCGGAGAATTCCGGACTGTCGTACGTTTATTTCAACTGTTCAGCATCTAAGAGACCATGGAAAATTTGAGAGTGTCAATGCAGATCGAGGGAGAACAACAACACAAAGAACATTGGCGGCCGAAGAAGAAATATTGGAAGCTGTTGAAAACCGGCCTAAATTAAGTTGTAGAAGACTAGGTCTTGAAATTGAAGTGTCCTCCTTTGTTGTGTGGCGGACACTTAAAGAACAAGGTTTACATCCTTATCACATCCAAAAAGTCCAGGCCTTATATCCAGGTGATGAAGAAAAGAGAGTGGAGTTTTGTGAATGGATGATTCAAAAATGTGTTGATATTCCTGATTTTCTAAAAATATTATTGTATACTGACGAGGCTTCATTCACTCGTGATGGCGTGTTCAATATGCACAATACGCATATTTGGAGTGATGAAAATCCTCACGCCATTAGGGAAACTGGGCATCAAAGAAAATTTTCAATAAATGTTTGGGCTGGCATAATAGATCAGTATTTAATCGGGCCTTATGTTCTCCCGAACAGATTAAATGGGCCAGGATATCTCCACTTTTTAGAAGATATTTTGCCAGTACTCCTAGAAGAGATACCGTTACAATTAAGGCAACGGATGTGGTACCTACTAGATGGCGCTCCTCCTCACTTTGATTTAAACGTACGGCAGTTTTTGAACATTAGATTTCCTCAAAAGTGGATAGGCAGAAATGGACCTACTAAGTGGCCTCCGAGATCTCTGGACTTATATCCATGCGATTTCTTTTTGTGGGGTCACATGAAACAACTGGTTTATATTGAACCTATTAATAGTGTTGAACAATTAACCAATAAAGTTAATGCGGTAGCCGAGGAACTACGACAAAATCCAAGACTAATTTCTAATGTATAAAGTTCTTTGGAAAGACGATTGCAAGTGTGTGTAAATAATAATGGACGGCATTTTGAACAATTACTGTAATAAACTTTATTTTGAATTAATTGGTTTTGCTACGGCAACAGTGCAATTTCTATGGGTAAGTTCAATTTCGATTTATTTTACTTCTTTAAATATGGAAACTAGTAGGTCGGAAAAGGGGACTCTTCCCCAATATTTAAATTTTAGAATTTGAAGTTAAAATTGGTGCCAATCGTTTTTGGTCATTACATACTATTCCCCATTTTAATATGTACGTGTATTTCAATAACACCATGTATTTAGTTTTCTCTTGTTTATATAATTTTTTATTGTAGTTGGTTGGTTTGTTTTTAATGACGTCCTATAAAAATTAGTTCTTTTTGTCTTCTTATTTCATCTGTATTCACATAACTCAAGTTTTTATTATTGGGATATATTTGGAATTGAGGCATTAAAATGTTTCATGAATGTATCATGAGGAGCTTCAGCTTTTTTATTTGCATATTGGTTGCTTTTCTCATGTCATGCCAGGTTTCATTTTGCAGAAGATTATTAAGATTATTTATATTATTTTGAGAGAAGGATCTAAAATGAGTTATAACTCCTAATACGGAGCGCTCATGATTTAGGAAAGTTAATAATTGAGGGTCATGGTCTGACCATACATACAATGTTTCTATTACGTCTAAATAACAAACATTTTATAATACTTTTTATTAATTTATTTATAATAGATACATAAGTATTTTAATATAAATTCATAATAATATTTTAACCTATGGTAGTATTATATTTGGTACCGTTTCAGAAGTTCTTGATAATCTTCTGCTATATTATGGGATGGAGAAATAGCAGGTTTACCATCAGTATAAACATCTTTCATGGGATCGTACGATATATGTCTCTTTATCTTATTACATTGCAATTGCTTCAAGTTACTCATGTAATTTTCATCAATAAACTTTCCTGGTACCATAGCAAGTTTTCTATTGGTGAGAAATGGAGGTTCTGGTTTTGGAGTCTAAAAAATTAAATAACCATATCAAAAATTGAATTATTTACTTTACAACAAGAGATGTAGCTACTGATATGGAAATTTCTGGAGGATCAAGTAAAAATTAGAGATAGTAACATCGGGTTGGGGTGTAAAAAGTGTAGCTAGGAGCAAAGATAAAATGATATTTATAATTGTGAGGGATTTTTTTGTTTATTGGATTTTTTTGGATCGAAAAATTATTGATTGGCATTCGAAATAAAAAATAGTAGAAGAGATTCTCTATCGTTTGAAAATATTTATTACATTCCACATCATTGTGCCACGAATTCTAATAGCCCCACAAACAAACTTCGCGTTGTCTTTGACGCTTCAAGTAAGTTATCTTTTGATGTCTCACTAAATGATAGTCTCCTTACGGGACCAAAACTTCAGTCTGATAATATATGCTACTCAGATTTCGAATTTATCCCTTTGTATTTATTGCAGATATAAAACAAATGTATCGCCAAATTGTGATTCACGATAATTATCAAGATTATCAAAGGATTTTATGGCGATTTTCTCCTACAGATTCTGTCTAAGATTTGAAGCTTAAAACGGTTAAATATGGTGTATCTTCTAGCCCCTTTCTCGCCATCTGAACCATTTTTCAATTGATTTCTGACGAAAAAAATGATTTCCCTATTGCGGCTAAGGCCCTAACCTCATATATTTACATTGATGATGTAATTACCGGTGCTGAAACTTTGTTATAACATAAGGGTGGTTTCTCTTTACGTAAATGAGCCTGTAACGATCCTAGCTTATTAGTCTAGCTCCTAGTGATTGTCAACAATCTCCTCTGTTGTTTGACACCCATGATTTTATTGTAAAAATGTTGGGTCTTAGATGGAATCCCTCTCTTGACATGTTCTTATATATTGTTCAACCTAAGTACAGAACTTGTTCCTAGGTGTTTTCCACAAAACGTTACCTCGTGCGAACTACACGGATTTGGCGATAGCTTTGAAAAGGGATATGCTGCAGTCGCATATCTTCGTTTTTCGTATCAAGATGGGTCGCATAAAGTTGTTCTACTTTTTGGAATATCTAAGGTAGCACCTCTCAAAGTCCTTTCAATTCCTCGGTTAGAATTGATGGCCGCAGTTTTGTTACCTAAGGGAATGTAATTTTGTCTTTTAAGGATGTTTTAACTAATAATAAAAGCTTTGCTTGGATAGCCTCAATGATGGCTCTATCGTGGATTAGGTCTCCTGTTTTTCGATGGAAAACCTTTGTAAGCCATCGAGTGGCATATATCCAAGAAAGAGTGCCACCCGAACGTTGTTATAAGTTTCTCTGATAACCTTTCCGATTGTGCTTCACGTGGCCTTGTCTCTCCCTCACTTCCTTCCTCATTATGGTTTGTTGGACCCCAATGGTTATCTTCTTTTTCTGAGCATTGGCCTGGGCACTCATTTTCTACGGATCCTTGTCCAGAAGAAAAGTACCTGACATTAACTACTCTTATATTTTTGAATAACTCTTTGGATATTCTTTTAGAAAAGTATTCATCTTTAAAAAAATTAAAAACATAATTGCCTATGTCCTACGCTTCGTCCATAATGTTCAAAGACATTTGCCCAAGCGCACTGACGCATTTTCAGTATACTGATTTGCATGAAACTTTTTTGGTGTTAATAAAAAGAATTCAGTATACCTCATTTTCTAATGAAATTGATCAATTGAATAGTAACACCCTGTCTAAAACATTTCGAAAACTAAATCCTTTCTTAGACAAAGATGGTCTGCTTAGGGAGGGGCGGTCGTCTCCAATTTTTAGGCTTATCATACGATAAAAAATTTCCTCTTATTCTTCCTCGAAAGCATCGTGTCACAGATTTAATTATTAAATGCTTTCATAATGAACATTTTCATCCCTGGTTGCAAAATCTCCATTTTCTCCCCTCCCAACAATTTTGGATTTTGTCTCCAAAACAGACAATACGGCATGTCTTGTCGCGTTGTCGTCGTTTTTTTAAAATAAAGCATACCGCTTATGAGCCTTTTATGGGAAACTTACCCTTATCTCGTATCAATGAGAATAAACCTTATTGTGTGGCGGTCGATTACGGAGGTCCGTTATTTGTAACTCCTCTTAAAGGTCGTGGTATTATGACCCGCAAGGCATATTTTTGTTTGTTTATTTGCTCTTGAACTTGCTAACAGTCTTTTTAGTGCCTCATTCATTGCAGCTCTTCGCAGATTTGTCGCTCGACGCGGTAGAGGCTCAAAAATATTCTGCGATAATGGAACCAATTTTATGGGAGCATCACGCGAGTTGAAACAGCTAATGAAAGATGCTTCTGATTCTGAAAAAATATCTTTTTCATTTTCTCCCCTGTCTGGACCGCAATTTAATAGACTCAATGAGGCTGGAATTAAGTCGGTTAAATCTCACATTATTCGAGTTATCGGATCCCAAGTTGTCACTTTTGAGGAATTCTATACCTTTCTAGTACAAGTTGAGGGTATGACCCCTCAGATTTGTCAGTGTTAACCCCCGGACATTTCCTAACCCTTGAACCTTTTACTTCTGTCCCGAGTTCTGACTTCTCTCAAGTTAATACCAACCGCCTGGACCGCTGGCAGTTGTAGCAGCGGTTACAACAGGATCATTGGAAACGGTGGCACGCAGAATATCTGCAAACTCTTTGACAGCGTCATAAATGGCTTAATAAGGGAGTCGATGCAAGAGTGAACGATCTCGTTTTAATTAAAGAGAATAGTACTCCTCCTCTCCGTATTATTAGTATTCATTCCGATTTTGATGGAATACCTAGAGTCGCAACTGTTAAAACCAAGACGGTATTGCCATAATTGGTCAAAGACCACATCCGTATGGCGAAGAACGAATCTTGGATTCAAACGGTCGAACATCAGTATCGTCGCAAAACTCGTAGAGTACATTATGATAAATTGGTACAAACCCGCAAGTTACATTTTCAAACATTCAAATAGCAGCCCCTAATACAGTCCACGACCCCTGCAGCTTAGGGTGGCTGTGCCCAGGAAGAGAAGTCTGCGCCAGGAAGCCAAGGAAATTGAAGGTAGGACCTGATTGGCGAAGTTTTAAATTTTCTTAAGCGTGTAACATACCGTTAGCTTAACCATAACCTATTCAACTGCTACTTATCTTAAATTTATCTTTAATTCGGGTACACAGCAATTGGTTTGCTCAAACCTTGGTAAAAATGTCTGCAATTTGTTTATCCGAGGAAATATAGGAAACCTAAATGTTGCCTTTTTCATATTGGTCTCTAATAAAATGATATTTAATATCGATGTGCTTAGTTCTTTTGTGATTCTCCACACTCTTTATCAGATGAATTGAACTCTGATTATCCACAAGAAGTTGTACAGCGTGATCTGCTTTGGTCTCTGAGAAATCGTGTAAAAATAAGCGAATCCAAACTGCTTCTTGTGTTGCCTCCGAGGCTGCTACGTATTCAGCTTCCGTAGTTGATCAAGCCACACATTTTTACTGTCTAGAAGCCCAAGTTACAGGACTTCCAGTTAATGTGGTGATATACTCAGCAGTAAATTGTCTAGTATCTAGATCTCGAGCAAAATCTACATCTAAGTAAACATTAATGCTAATATCATTCTTGCAGTATAATCTTCCGAACTTAGACGGTCCTTTTAAATAACGGAATATTCTTTTTACAGCATCCCAATGGTGTTTTCCAGGATTATTTAAGAATTTGCTTACTTAACCAACAGCATATGCAATATCTGGCCGCAATAAACAAGACATCCCACTGCTCACGATACGGCTTGCTGCTCATTTTTTTCCTCATTTTAAAGGACTTGAAGTCATTGTTTCTGAAGCTGTAGAAACAACATTACAATCTTGCATTCTAAATGTAAAACATTTAAAATATATTTTTCTTGATATATGACGATAGTATTTTCTTTTTTATTTATTTCAAGTTGCATACCTACGAAATATTCAGGTTGGCACTAAATAATTTTAAATTTTTTATTCAACTTATGCAAAATCGTGTCAAGAATTTTCGTAGATCTGCAAAACAATAGTCTATCATCGACATAAATAGCCTAATATACTTGTTCGGTATCTAGAATAGCATAAAAGATACATTTATTGACATGTTCTTCCAACTACAACAAAATTGTTATTAACAGATTCCCTGGTTCTGAGTAATTTTAACTTTTGTGATTCAGTTTATGGGCCCTGTTTAGATAACGCAGACATAATTAGAATTCAGAGAGTACAGAAATCTTGTTTAAGATTTTCTTATGGAATACGGAAATTTGATAGAGTCTCTCATAAACTCAAGGATTCAAACTGGCTAGATATGCAATCCAGATGAAACTTACACTCGGCTAATTTGTTTCATTCTGTTATTTTACATAAATCCCCTCCATATCTTTTTAATAAAATAATGTATCGTTCTGATGTTCATAACCTCAATCTACGTTTTTGTGGTCGTATCTCACCTCCAATACATAATACTGCTATTTTCAGACGGTCTTTCACTTATAATATTTATGCAATGTACAAGGTTATCCCACAACATTTTAAAGAAATGTCTGTAAGTAAATTTAAAAAATTTTACAAAAAGTTTCTTCTTGACACAGCAGAGTGATAGCTACTTTTTAGAATGTTTATACTTTTTTTTCTCACTATCATTTGTGTTTATATTTATATTGTTTTTTGTACGATGTCCTGTGGCGTTGGTAATACTCAGGGCTGGTGCTTTGATCAGTATCCACTGTTCACCAGTCCTTTTTGCAGCCTTCTTTGGCACTTTTTTTCTGAATATTTTTATATGTATAAAAAACTGGAAGTTGCAAATAAAGTTTATTATTATTATTATTATTATTATTATTATATAGTTGCCGAAATGTGAATTCTTTTAAAAATATTTACAAATTCTATATTCCAGCATCGTGGGCTTTGTTTAAGACCATATATGCTCTTGTATAGTCTACAAACAACCGAGTTGCCACTTTGGAAACCT